CTGAGCACCGTATTCTAAGTCAACCAAACTTTTCAACTTTTGAGACAACTGGATGTGGATTAAGAGTTTTAAATTTTCTTATTAAAAAGTGTCACTAATCTTTACAGGAATTAATTTTTGCTGCAAATGATGGTTCTAAAGCAGGCGCCAATTTCTAGTGTGCATGGGTCTCCATCCCAGTCAATTCCACTATTTGCTCCGAGAACTCTGAGCGTAGTGCTGACATCTTGTGGTAACTCAAATGATAGCTTTGTGTATTCAAGTGTGCTAGACAGGTTGAGGCAGGGGAGGATGACCCAATAGAGCAAACTAATTGAACACAGATGTGCAGCACCTTTTATAAGTAGGGTTAGTCACAATGAAGTAACATAAAGCATAACAACATCTAATCATCAAACAGCCAAAGAATATGAAGACGTCAAAGAATAGTTTTTAAAAGAGTGAATGCAAAAAAAAAGTGAAAAAAATTGAAAAAAAAGATTGAATGGCTTCCATAAGATAAAACGTTTTCCTGAAATGTCCCTAAATTGAATCACAAAAATAATAAACTTTCTAAGATGTGTTCTTCCAGAGCACACGCTCTTCCCCACAGAGGTGAACTTTCCCATTGTACATGTTTATCATCTTACCTTCCCTGTAGTGACTTATTAGTACAATTAACATTTCAAAATAAATGCAAGCATATTAAAATTAACCTCAAAATATACTTTGATATTTTTAAGACTTTCAATTCCCTGGTAAAATATTATTTTCATAAACAATACACATATTTGTACTACCTTCAGGCATAGTAGTACATGACTTTTGAAGCTCTAATTGAATGCTTTGCCTGAAAAGGCAGAGGGAGACTATTTTTAAGTTGTTAATTTTTCAAATCAGAAACTATGAAAGACTGTACTTTGAAGGTTTCCATGTTATTTCATTTGGATACATAGACGTGGAGATACTATTCTTAAATAAAACCCAGGGCTTTTTGTCTATATACCAAGATAAGAAAGAACACAATTCTAGCATTTGTGATGGTGATCGCTCCCACATAATGTTACTATGCATACTATTTTCTTTCATTACTTCAACTTAAATATTCATATAATATATATGACCTGTTATGAACTATTTGTAATTCATAAATCTATCCTTTCCAGTATTTTGTACAAATGTTCTGTATATTTTCTTCAATAATGCTAGTTTTTGAGGGTACTGGGACTAAAATATATGCTCAATTGATTATATCTTTCTATATGATAAAAGTTCAAATTTGTCATTTATTTTAAAACCCACAAAAATTGTTTCCACAAAGTTTATTTTTGGGAAAATGAAGGAAGAAAAATATTTCCATATTAAGTGTCACTTTTTTTAGTTTAAAACTCACCCTGTAGAAAAGGTGAAATACTATCTGCCAATTAATTCTGGCATTATTGTTGTTTGATTTAGAGAAAGAATAATTGTATTGCTATTTATTAATTCAGTCATTAAATATTACATGATCACTACCCCAAGACAAACTTCTAGGGAGTTTAATGAGGATTATGAATGATGTAGCATTAATGTAACAAATATCACTCAGAATAGAAAGCAATCATGTCAACAAAAGATATACCATTTGTATGATACAGAGGATCAGGAGTTGGGAGAGACTGTTCTGAGGTGGGCAGGAGGACAAAGACCATTGAGGAAACAAGTGACAACTGAACTTTGCCCTTTCAGTTAGGTTGAATTCATTGTACACACTAGAAAGTGACGATGGGATATTAACAAAGTAAGAAAACAACAAAACAAATCCGAACTAATGGGAACCAAGTGAATGGAATGAGTAGGCTTCAGTGTGAGAGCTCTGAAGGAAAGCTATGAGAGATGAAATTGGAAAGCAGCAGACCAGTAAAGAACTTTAAGAGGCAAACTAAAGGATTTGACCCAAATATTTGTAAGTCTTGAAATTACATAAGTCCTTTATTCATTAAACAATTTACACTGTGCTAGAGATATAGCCCCATGCTAGCATGCTTACCTAGCATACATGAAACCCTGGGTTCAATACTCAGCACCAAAGACAGAAAGCTTACACTGATGGCATTTCAGCTCAATCTAATAGAATCAGTGTTTCCTAACTTAATAACTACTTCAAGACAAAGAAGTTAGAAGATACATCCGTTGTTTCAATTTTTTAGAAAGGAACTATTTAAATACTTACACTTTAACACCTGCTTATTAAATCTCTGTATTTTCATATTTACAGAATTTTATATTGTGTATATATATTTTCCCTGGTAAAAAGAGAAAGTTCTATGTAGCTCTACACTGCACTTTTTTTTTTTTTTTGGTCTTTTTGAGACAAGGTCTCTCTGTAGCTGCACTTTTATGCTAAGTTAAGAGTAAAGCTTCAATCAAACACCAGATGTTTTCTTACAATAGTGCCAAACATGTAGGTTCTTGACAATCAGTCATCTGACTTCAATCTGATTTTTATAGACTCAACTTCAGAAGCCCGTCTGTAGAAGCATTAGGTAGACTTAGCCCTCTCAGTACATGTAAATGATCCCTGTATTTACTTTTATAGTTTTTACATTTCTTCTAAAAGTTTGTTTTGCATTTAAAATAGCAACAGTACTGGTACAGGCATACCAAGTGAGATTTTGACTCAGGTAGATAGGCAAGGTGGGAAAAAAAAACTCTATTATTCCCACCGTCATTCCTTCCTATGCTCCTCCACATTATGTATTTATTTTTCAAATTTTCCAGAAATACAAAATTAAAATTGTATTAGGTAAAACCAAAATTTAAAAAAGATGAGGCTGATTGTTTTAAAATATGAACAATAAGATATCTTTTCTATAAGGTAGTAATTGTATTCATTGTGTGGGTGTTTGTGGGCACTTCTAGTGCATGGCGACTTCTCCCAAATCCTCTTTTAGCCTACCGCTCTTCCAACAGACAGTGTTCGTGCTCACGCATAACATATAGTGCAAATTGTTTGTCTCTGTGAATGAAGACTCATTTATCTCTTAATTTAGTAGAGATAAATTGCCTAAAAATTAATATCTACTAAGACTTTACTTTGAAAATAGGATATTGAAACTTTTTTAGGTTAAAGAAATTAATATTTTCTTTCCAACAGTATACTATAAAATATTAAAAATCTAATTAGTTGAATTATTTAGTGCCAATTAAAATCATGACAGTATTTTTTAATCTAAAATAAATGGGATAATCTGAATCATTACTGGATGTTTATGAAGTTTACTTTATACATGTTCAAGTTATCTTTATATTTTGAATTAGCCTTTTGAAAATTCTTTATTTAACAACATGTTCCACCTGGATTTCTTGTACATAAATTGAATAAAATATTAAACAAATGTTATAACCTTTATTTTCTGAAAATCTAGTCCTCTATAGGTAACTAGTATTTTATTGGTGGCTGGCATTTAGACCTTCTAAATAGTTGTCCTCAACATATGAAAATTGGATATGTAATTGACTTATTATTAAGATTCTTCTCCCTTATTTCCATGTTCTGGGGAAGGAATTGATTGTCATAGATATGAAAATTCTTGGCTTTTGAGGATCTGCTATTACTGGACTAAAAGAAGGGAAGACATGGAGGAAAATCTAAATCCTTCGACCTGACATTAGCTGCTTTGACTGTGGATAGCCGTCCTCAAAGTGTTTCCCACACAATTTCTGTATTCCTTTTATTTGGTTATATTACCTAAAACTCCCAAATGAGGAATCATCACTTTTACCTATTTCCTTAAGAAATATGTAGGTCTCTTAATATGAACTGATTATCAATTCTTCACCTGCGGTATAAACCCATTCAACTAAGAGAGTCCTGATGGAATCTCTCTTAGAGAGACTGTTAAGTAATTTTGTAGTTTGGAACATGTCTAGACTTAGAACTGAGGTAAACTCATTGTCAAAGATGAGGTGAGCTCAAAGACACTAGAGAAAAACTATAGTCAGAAAATCTCTGAGGAAGGAAGGGCAGAGTTTGAAAACTAAAAGCACAGAATGAAGAATAGCGAATCTCTGGGTTCCTGTTTCATTGCACTCCTAATCACAGCCTTGCAAGGTATGCATTACTGACCCCACTGTTTCCAAACACAAAATCTGAGATTTAAGGTCTCTACCGAGTGTGCACAGATCCAGAAGACTGCAGTTCACACTCTCTGGCAGGGATGAATACTAAGGGTTTCAAATAATTGCCAGAAGAAACTTCTCTCCCATCCAGTAGGAGGAAGCACTGCTCTCCTCTTTCTTGTACATGGCGACTTCCCCCAAACCCTCTTTCAGCCTACCGCTCGTCCGACAGACTGTGCCAGTGCTCAACCATATACAGCCCAAATTGTTTGTTTCTATGAATGCGGACTCATATATAAAAAATGAAACTCATGAAAATTTTGAGACAAATCCCTTTATTAGCTATGAAATCTTAAAGAAAACAGATGTCTTTAAATTTTAAAAATCATTTGGAAAGTTGGTGGAGCCACTTGGAAAGTAGTGCGGACTTGTCAATCACGTCTTGAAATTATCTATTTTTTGCTCACTTTCTAAGGAGGCAATCTGATTGTTGATTATTAATATGGAAAATAATTATGCAATTTCTTTTATTCTGCTCTTTCTACTACCAAAGTTATCCTGTGAAGTAGTCAAAATTCTCCTTTGATTTGCCATCCCTGTTGTGATGCTGTACAGATAAACCAGAAAATAAGAGCTAACAATAATTGCAGACTATTTAATAACTCAGTCTGAATGTTCCTCCCCAGAAATAGGTGGGTGGGTCTTTTTGGTGTGCATTTACACTGTGAAGCAATTAATACTGCCCCTGTTCATTAGTGGCCAAGGAAATGAAAGTGAAAGACAGGTTGAGAAAGGTAGAGTTTCTTGCCTCAGCTGTTTCTTTCTGTGGGTAGATTTAATAAACGTGTGATTTTTACATTTGGAGATCAAAGTGAGCTTCACTTGTTGACTGTGGTGTTGACTCTTCCCACACCATGCAGCAAAGCCCAGCAATCACCGGCCTGCAGAAAGCTCCGTGTCAACCGGCTCCTCGGTCAGCAGCTTTGGCAGTGGGTACAGCGTGGACAGTGAAGGAAACAGCAGCAGCACTGCAGGGGAGACTAATCTATTCCCTATTCCAAGGATGTAAGTGCTTTTTTTTTTTTAAGTACAATTTTAACAGCATCATGAGTAATTCATTCTTAACATTTCACAGGAAATAACAAGATAATTATCCAAGTCTGAATCATTGTCCCTGAAACAGCTGAACTACTGATGTCCACATGAAAACAAGTTATTCAGGAAAGACTGGATTGTTACAGTTCATTCTAAAGATGAATGCAGGTAGACTACCAGGATGACTTAGTCTGCACATCCTGTATTTAGCATAAACACTGCTAGAATAATAACTAAGCTATGCCAGACTCAAGTTCAGCAGCATCACAGCAGAGTTTTATCACACAATGACCAAACGCAGACATTACTAGGATTTGACATAAAAACACATTAATTTTCTTTGAATCAGGAGAGATTTAAGCACATCCGAAGAACTCATATCATCTTGGAAACAGATGACAAATTGGGATAATCATTTAGACTTATTAACACTAAAGTTCTCTATACTTAAAATGGAAGGTTTTGAAGCATTTTCATATTTTATAGAAAAAGTATCAAGTGGAATTTAAGATCCTGCATAGATTGTCTGGAAATAAATCACATTCATAGTATGAATGAATGATTTTCTTAAGAAAATCATTTTGAAAATCAATGCAAAACTAAAGCAGATTGTGTTTAGAATGTGCTGGAATGAATTTAGACACATATGTAGACCGTGTATCTGTTCCAGTATCAAAATTGAAACTTCTTGATCTTTCATTTTCCTCCTCATGAACTAGTCTTGAGGGTTTTTAAAACACTGCTGGGCCATCCAGATCTTGTGTCTAGACCACGGCATGCATTAGTCTGACATATGGTTTTATAGGGACCTTGAGCTAACATGGCTTTCGCATTTTTTGATGTTAAAAAAAAGATATTTCATGACACATAAAAAGAATGTGAAGTTGACATTTTAATGGCTGTATGTTGAATTGGAACACAGCCATTCCCCTTGGCTTGCATATTACCAGAGTTGTTTTGGCAGCACATGCAGAATGGTGATTGCTGTGGTAGAGATCATCCAAAAGGATCTGACTGTCACAGTTGAATGGGCTTTTTTTTTTTTTTAACATTTTTTATTGAGCTTTTAAATTTTCATACATTTTCTACTCAAGTCCATAACCTTCCCCCCATCCGTGTCTTCCCTTATCCCCGCCCTCACTGAACCCTATGCACTCTGCCATACATGCTGAGTCCTATCCATATAGGAGTCCCATCTATACCCTATAGTCTCTTATTCTCCAAAACTTGGCCAGTTATGGCCTTCTGTGTACATCACGCTCTGATGTACATGGAAGCCTCACTGGTGAGAGTTGAGGGGTGCATTAGCCCTCTCTCTATCCCTTGTTCACCTATGCTCCATGAAGCTTAGTTGTAGAGATTTGACTGCAGATGTGTCACCTAGTACTGGGAATCTCCCAGGCCTATGTTCTCTGTGATGACCAGATGTGCAGCTCTGCAGTAGCCTCCATCTGCTGCAAAAAGAACCTTCTTTGATGAGTGCTGTATGGCATGCTTGTCACTCTAAGGGAGGTCTCTTCTGTCTGGCACTGCATTCCCTGCCAAGTGGCTCCCAGCTATACATATGCATTAATGTTCAGACATGCTATGTGCATTTCTCATAAGGTTTCTGGGGCATCATTTTTCCCTCTAGGTTTCCCAGCCCCCCCCCCGAGATTCACTCATCGCCATTCTTTTTTTCCTCCTATCCAGCTTCCTTCCTCCCTCCCTCTCTAGTCACAGTGCCTCCATTATCCTCCCCTCCCCCCAATACATCCTGACTCCTGTCATCTTTCCTCTGCTGACTTCCCTCCCTCCCCCACACCATGGTCCCTTGCATGTCCCTCCCTCCTCTCGTCCCTGCCTATCACTCACAATTTTCCCACCTCCCTCGGGTAACATCTGTTCCCCACTATCCCCCTTTCAGGTTGTTCCTTTCCCTTTACCTCCATGTATCCTTTGCTTTTACCTGGCTCCTGGTGTTACATAATAATTTATATACTCACATATAAGGGATTGGTGCTACAATCCACAAATGAGGGAGAACATACATCGCTTGCTTTTCTGTGTTTCTGTTACTTCACTTAGTATAACACTCTCCAGCTCCATCCATTTACCTGCAAATTTCCTTATTGCATCTTTTCTTACTTCTGAGTAGAACTCGTTGAGTAGATGTACCACATTTTCATTAACCATTCGTCAGTTGAGGGACATTTAGGTTGTTTCCATTTCTTAGCTGTTGTGAAGAGAGCAGCAACAAACATGGATATACAGGTATCTCTACAGTACGATGAGTCCTTTGGGTATATGCCAAGGAGGTATCACTGGATCATATGGTAGGTTCATTTTTAGTTTTTTGAGGGTTCTCCACACTGATTTCCATAGTGGTTGGACAAGTTTGCATTCCCATCAGCAGTGAATGAGCGTCCTTTTTCTCCACATCCTCTCCAACATTTGCAGTGTTTCATTCTCTTGATCTTTGCCAACCTAACTAGGGTAAGAGGAAATCTTAAAGTGTTTTTCATCTGCATTTCTCTAATTACTAAGGATGTTGAGCACTTCTTAAAGTGCTTCTGCATGGGCTTTTTCATTTTCTTCCATGCGGTGTGCACTCTTCTCGGGTTATGCACATTTTCATTATTTTTCAATCCAAAGATGTTGCAGATATTTCCCTTTCATTCTCAGAGTATTTCTGATAGTGATTTATCTTACATACATAATAGGGAAAACAGATTTTTACAGTCAATAATTCATTTATTTTGTAGTTTTCAAATTACATTTTCCAAGTTAAATTAAAAGACTTCTTATGTATTATCTATCCATCTGAAGAGTGTTTTTTAATACTAGTTTGTCTTTGAAATTTAGTTTACAGATTTAATAGAATTAGATGTACTTAATCAGTTCTTTTAAAAAAAAATGAAACTCATTGCTAAAATGAACCTGATCTCATTTGTATTTTTACCTCTGATGCTCTTATTTAAATGAATGACAGGAATTTTAGAAAATTTATTACATTTCTCTCCTGGTTGAGAATATCATCAGAATTTATAAAAACTGCACTACACATAATTTGATATCCTTCCAATTTATCTGTACCAATTAGACTATATATAATTTAGCACTGATGTTAAAGTAATAACTTACAGAGTATAAGTTATGTTTTTTCTCAATGTCTGAATGAGGTGAAAGTAGATTATATAATATATATATATTTTTTTTTCATATTCCCAACTTGGGTTTATTTCTTGCTGTTTTTCTCATTAAATAAAAGCCTCTCAAAATTGCCAGGAGACTATCATTCCCTCATATAAACACAAAGAAAATCCATGATATTATTTGTTAGTTCTTGTCAATGTCCTATTTTGCCCAACACACATGTTAGCTCGGCTAGAATAAATGTTCAGTAACTAGTTAGTGATTGAATAGAATGCATGAGTTACAAAATATGCAATCAGAATGTTCTGAGTTGAAGGTAATTTTCTGAGAATTCAGGAAAATGGCACACTGCTCCTCTGTGCTACTTTAGTCCCACAATGCCATTATGCTCCCAAGTTCTGCACTGTGTTCATGATGAACTTACTACACTTTTTTGTGAAGTATGTAAAATTAACTCAGTTTTCACTAGAATCAAAGACTGTCATCAGATATAATTAAAAATAAAATTAACAACTCAGATCTATACATTAACAAAAATTATTTTATTAAAACTATAAAATATAACAACTCTTTTATTAAAGTTTTACATACTATAAGGATAGTAATTTTCAGTATTCTAATCTCCTAGATTAGTACTATAAAGACCCTTATTTTCTATTGAATTTGGCTATATAGATTCGTCTACCATCATTGTAGCAGCATACAGTGCTCTCTTTTCTTTTAATACCAACACAGGAAACAACGTTATTTAATTAACTTAACCAATCTAATTTTAATGATGAAGTTACACACACTGAAGTTCTATGTATTGCTGGACTGGAGACAGAGACCAGTGGTAGAAAACTTGACCAGTGTATGCATGTTCAATCTTCATTACTACAAATATAAATAAAAATGAATTTGTATGCATTGCTTAAACGAGACTATATATTCAGATGAAGATAATACACACACATACAAGGGTTAAGAATTATATAATTTCCAGGTACTTGGTCCTCAGATAGTCACTAAATAGAAATTTGTGTTTAAATTTTTGAATTAAAATTGTTCTAATGGAACAATATAATGACTTTCTAAATTTATAAATTTATATCTATTTCTTTTTTATTACGTACAGAATTATTTTATTGTCTTCTGTGAAGTACAGTGGTAAGATGATTTTAAAGCAGTTTTTGAGTAAAATATAATTAGATTCTCAAGAAATAAGTACAGTTACATTCTCAAGAAATCCAGCAAATGAGAAACATTTTGTAGAAATTAATAATTGTTAATAAATCCTTCTATGTTGTATTTATTGTCTAGAAAGTGTAGAATTGAGATATTTTTATTCAACCATCATTTTCAGCATGTGTTTCTATTCCATCTGGTTAAAAGATATTATTTAAGTAAATTTAAAGGAAATTCCAAAAATCCATTTTATGTCATAAAACTTTCCTCTAACTGAAGCATTAATAAGCAGTCTATTACCTTATTAGCATTCTAGTGCCACAGGTTTTATTTAAAGTACTTGAATCCCTGATCCAATTGACTTACCCATAGCTTCATGGCTGAAACAAGTAAGAAAGTCTTTATTTTGTGTTATCCTTAAGGTTTTGTTGTGTTGTTGTTTTTATAATTTTTGCCAGTGTCTTATTTGTGTACAATGACTTACGGTCATAGTCCTCTCTCCATTACCTCTTCTCATCCCTCTTCCACACCATCGGACCTGTACCATACTGGTCCCCCTCCCACCTTCATCTCACTCTCTCTTTGTGTGTGTGTATATGTGTGTGTGTATGTGTGTGTGTGTGTGTGTGTGTGTGTGTGCAAGTCTTGTGTAGGTGGTCAAAACTGCTATGTTCATGATTTCAAAAGCCATGTCATATCCCGAAGGCAGCATTTTATAACATTCCTCTGCATCCTCCAGCTCTCAGATGGTCTTTCGACTCCCTGAGCCTTGTGGTGGGTGAGAGCGATATCCCATTTGGGTTACTATTCTTTACTCAGTAGCCTCTTATTCTCAACACTTTGACAAGTTATGGGTTTCTATTTTGACCATCTTACTGCTAAAATTTACTTTTAATTTTGGAAGAAAGTCCATACTGTTTTCCACAATATCTTATCTTTATTGATTCACATTCCCATCAATAGTATGTAAAGTTTTCACCCTCTCCACATTCTTGCCAGAATTTGGTATGATTTGCCAAGCCATCTTAAGGTGATATATAATTTTGGTTTTGATTTATATTTTCCTGGTGATTAGTAATGTTGAAGTTTTTCATACACCCGATGGCCTTTTGTTCATTTTCATTTAAGAAATATCTACTTAGGTTACAATATTATTTTCATGTATTACTTAATTTAGTATTAGCTGTCTCATCAAAGAACCCATAATAACTCCTTATTACAAAGATGCAGATCCTTCTATGTTAAAAATGAAAGACAATGAGGAATATTTGAGGAGATGGATGTGTGTCACTAGATTTAGACATTGTGCATGGATACATACACTGAAGAATCATACAGTGCCCATTAATGTGAGCACTTAATAATATTTTATGCATTAAATAAATTTTATAGATGAGGAAAATCTTAAAGTCTCAATTTCATCATAAACGTTTCTCTAAATAAAATGTACTGGATTATGTAATATTATTTTTAGACTGACTAGGCATAATAATGAAGTTCCCATTCTGTAATTAATGTGACATAGCACAACTAACTGTTTGCATATTTGCCATTCAAATAATTCACTGTGCATCTGCATACATTATGCCGTTTTATTTCTTCAAACTTAGCCTGCTCATTTGGATTTGCAGGATTATAACTAAAGATATTATTTATTTTATTTTAAACAGAGGGAAGATGGGACAGAATGGACAAGAGCCTGTAAAACAGCCAGGAGCAGGGGTAGGATTAGCAGATGCAGAAGGTAAGGCAAAATGTGCAGTATTAGATTGCTGTGGAATCTACCTGAAACACTAAATTATCTGTCTCTAACATGATTTAAGTGTCTAATAGTGATAATGAAGAAAGGACTAGATGAGTCATCATTATCTAATAAGTAAGAACAACTGTATTTATGTCATAATTGTCTTATGACATACTTAGTCATTTATATATAAATGTCCAGTACCTTGAGGTACTGAAACTTGAAAGGAGAATCATGAGGATGACAGGAAACTCAGAAGAAAAGATCAATGGGATGGAATAGAAGAAGCAGAATTAAACTCAGCTACAGTAACTGACTTTTTGCAAAAGTGCCAAAAACAAAAACATTGGAGAAAAAGAAAACCTCTTCAAAAAATGATGCTGAAAAAAAACCAAACAAACAAATATTCACATGTAGAAAAATTAAACTAGATCTCTATCTCTCAAATTGCACAAAAAATAAACCGAAATGGTTCATATATCTTTATTTAAATTTTTATTTATTTTTTTAGTTTATGTGTATATGTGTATTGCCTGCATGTAGGTAAGTGCACTTGTGTCATGCAATGCCCACGGAGGTCAGAAGAGGCTGTTGGATCCCCTGCAACTGGAGTTACGGATAGTTGTTAGCTGCCGTGTGGGTGCTGGGATTCGACCTGGGTCTTCTGCAAGAATAACCAGTGTTCTTAACCGCTGAGCCTGGATCATGTATCTTAATAAAAGATTTCAGGACCTGAAAAATTTCACATAAAATAAATAGAAATGGTTCATATATCTTAATCAAAGACTTCAAGATATGAAAGTGTCAGAGGAAAAAGTAAGGAAAAGTTTCAAGATACAGGCCTTTGCAAGGATGTTGTGAAAAGAACAGCAAAATATCAAGAAATAATAACAAGAACTGAGAAATGAGAATTCATAAAATAAAAAACTTTTTGCACAGCACAAAATTAAAGAAAACTCTTTGTACCTATATACTTGACAGGATTAATGCCCATAATGGTCAGAAAACTCAAGCACCTAAAACTTGAAAACTGAAGAGCTCATTCAACAAGTGGGGTATGAAATGAGCAGAGAGTCCCCAAAGGATGACATATAAAATGGCCAGTAAACATAGAAATGTTGAACATTCTTAGCCATTAGAGAAATGTAAATTAAAACAACATTAAAAGTCATTATTACAGTCAGAATGACTATCATCAAAAAAAACAAATAACAACCAGGGTTGACTATGATGTAGTAGACTAAGGACTCCTTAATACTGCTGGTGGCAATGTAAATTCATCCAGCTGCTATCGAAATCAGTATGGAGGTTCCTTAGAAAACTAAAAATAGAACTAACACATACCACTCCTAGGTATAATATATCTTAAGGATTCTAAGTCCACATATCACAGGGTCCATGTTTATAGCAGCATTTCTAACAATGACCAAGTTATAGAATTAACCTAAATGTCCATCAGTAGAATAAAAGATCAAGAAAATGTGGTATGTATACACAATGGAATTTTAGTCAGTCATAAAGATGAAAGAAACTGTTACTTGCTGAAAAGAATATAACTGGATCGTACATATTAAGAAAAATGAACAAAACTTAGAAACATAACTATCATATTTTCTCTAATTTGTGGATTCTAAATTTTATAGATACATAAAATTATACATGCATCTGTCTTTATAGACAGACAGACAGAGATAGATGAAGATAGATAGACAGATAGATGATAGATAGATAGATGATAAATAGATAGATAATAGATGATATATAGATAGATAGATAGATGATAGAGATAGATAGATAGATAGAT